GCAATCGATTGCGGAATACATTCACATCAAATTTGAGCATATCAACATTTACCCTGAGGCCCCATTTTGAGTTTTACAAAAGTGTGTTTTTTCAATATGGCGGCCAAAGTATCACTTCCGGTCAGGATTTTATTTTCTTCGTTTTTTGGTAATAGCATTTACTTTCGATCAGCATAAATTTCGTTGACCTATTTCAATTACACCGGAAGTTATTCGACCGGAAGTGGATTGTACTTTCAATTGATTCCCCGTTTAAAACCGGAAGTAAAATTAAATATTTGACAACTACATATTATTTACTTTAGTGATGTCCCTTTGCATATTAAATTTCAGATCAATCGATGCAAAAGCAAAAAAGTTGCAAAAAAATTGAAAAATTTGATCGAAAAAAGTGAGCGACGAATTTTCGAATTTCGTAATTTTTCAAGTGCTATCAGGTCAGAAATTACAGCTAGATTGTAAAAATTAAAACCCGAAGAAAATCGATGCAAAAATACGCCTTCTAGAGCCGATTTTCGACTATTTGCACATGTTGAACTGTGGCACTTCCGGTTTTGCAAAAATGTTCCAATATATATTTAAGGAACACGTCGCCACTACAGAAGGTCTAGAGAAGTTGAATGGTTGCTGCAACTACTGCAGTCTAGGCTCAGGAAGGTGTGTAAATTTCGAAAAAAAAAAAAAAAAAAAAAAAAAAAAAAGAATGGACATTTCGATAACAAACTGGGACTTTGCGGTAGCAAAGTCCCACAAAAAGATTTTAAACCGAAAAAGCAAAGAAATGTCGTTCTGTGTTTTGTTGTCAGTACCGAGGTCATAAATTGGGTTTTTGAGAATGGATCATATATATTTTGGTTTCATAAAAACGTATTGAGCTCAAGAATCTAATTTCCAAGAGCGCTGTATCGATTAAACAGCTTCGTGGAATTATTTCATGACTATGCAAGCACATCTTACGTTGGAAAAAGAAAAAGAAAAAGTTTATATCAGATCCCATGCGTTTATCTTCCACTTGGCATATTAATATGTTCTCTTTTCATCGTTTATAACAAAAATTAAACATGCTGAAGACAAATTAATACGTGAAAAGCAATTTTTTAACATTTGAACATGACGCAATACGCTAAAATACGCTAGGATTCCGTGCTATTAGTCATTAAAGGGAGTTAATTATATTTATGAGAATCGGGCCGATGTATCGCGATTATTTTTTTCTTCGCAATGCATCGATAAGAAGGAACGAATAGCGGTTCATCGATTCAACGGTGAATCGTTGCAGCCCTAATCAAAACAGAACCTGAAACATGTTGTTACTCAGAGTTTCACACTGTGCAATCTTCAGACAACTGTCAAGATCAAGTTGGATATTTTTAGGAAGTGTTTTCTGTGATTCCATCTATATTTAATGTCTTTCAGAAAGTGGAACTAGTAGAACTTCAAGCTTATGATGTCTCTAAGATGGTTCCTGCTAATACCTCACCTGTCACTCTGGTTTTAGAGGGTTCCAATGTTGGCAGAGGCACCAAATGGTAAGGACTTAAGGTTTCACAATGTTTTTGCTGGAAAACTGTTTGTAGATGTACTCAAGTTTCTCGTTGCTGCCGACACATGTTTCAATTTTTTTTATTTCTTCTCATTTATTGAAAAATATAATAGCGTAGATCCCATGAGAAAAACTGCTCACTTGGTCCCAAGTACAACTATTTTATGAGGTTTATCAGATAACAAAACAGACCCTCAAGAACTGGTAGACAGGATCATTGAGAACTTAAAATGTTATCTTTTTAAAATCATCAAGAGGTTATCTATTGATTAGCTGGTAGACAGGATCCTAGTGAGCCTATGTATATTTTTATCATGAAGAATATTGATGATAGGAACTAAGACAAGGTGTTATAATTTTTTCAATCAATGATCAATGATATTTCACACATTTGAAAAGAATATATTCTGAATGTTAATATTATTCAGGTTAGAAGATATGCAGGGTTTTATAAAACAAACTGATATTATAACATGTGGTGTTAATGTCTGGCATGTTATGGAGTATGATCATTATAAACTACCAGAAACATGCTATGGTCAATTTCACGAGGGGGATACCTACGTAGTTCGATGGCAGTATATGGTCTCTAATGCTGGTATGGATTTTTAGTCTTTTTCTCATGGATCAATGTTTTCAGTGATGAAGGTCTGAAAGACGGAAATAATTAAAGATTCTAGTTATTCTGTACATCAGAAATAAAAAATCCCAAGACAGATGGAAATATAAAAAATAGAGTAGGCTATTACCTCTGTCTTGACAAAATTTCCTCTTTTGCATACTGCATAGTGTTGTCCAAACAGATGTAGAAAAGTTGGATGTAAATCTCCATTTTATTTTTTGAATATTTTGATTGTATCTTAGTGGAGCTTTCAGGAAATATAGTCCAGATCAATGTATTACTTTGAATCATAGACCGAGGCCCCATGTGCACATAAGTGATCTCTCGACAGATGGATATAAAAAAAAAGCAGGCTAATGCCGCTGTCCTGGCAAAATTTCCCTTCTTGCACTCTTCATGGTGTTTCCCGTCTTCATTAGCCCACATAGTGTAGAAAAGTAGGACGTAAAACTCCATTCATTTCATTTTGATTCCAGGATTGAAATCTCTAAAAGGTCAGGCAGCACGGAATACACTAACAGGCAGAGAGAGATGTGCCTATTTTTTCTGGCAGGGATCAGAATCTACCATCAATGAGAAAGGTGCCTCAGCTCTGATGACAGTTGAATTGGATGAAGAAAGAGGTCCTCAGGTAAACAACAACTTTGATAAGTTTAAAATTAGTCACACTTCACGTAATGTGAAGTAATGTGATAGTAATGATTTATAGGAGGAAGGGGGGTAATAGTAAGGATTTATATGGGGAAGGGAGGTAATAGTAAGGATTTATAGGAGGAAGGGGGTAATAGTAATGATTTATAGAAGGAAGGGAGGTAGTAGTAATGATTTATAGGAGGAAGGGAGGTAATAGTAATGATTTATATGGGAAAGGAGGGTAATAGTAATGATTTATAGGTGGAAGGGAGGTAATAGGAAGGGAGGTAATAGTAATGATTTATAGGAAGAAGAGGTAATAGTAATGATTTATAGGTGGAAGGGGGTAATGCACTTGATCTAGGATACTGAAAGACAGAAAGAAAAAGGTTAAAAATCTTCGTATAAGGGAATCATTAGGTCAAAACGCAACAGAAATTGCTACAAATCAATTTATATCTGTTTGTGTAGGTACGAGTAATTCAGGGAAAAGAGCCGCCATGTTTTCTTAATTTGTTTAATGGGAGTATGATGGTTCACATTGGAAAACGGGAAGAAGAGGAATCCAACACCCAGGGACCGTGGAGACTTTATTGTGTTAGAAACGAACATGAAAACGAACTAATGTTGTTAGAAATTAACTTGTGTATAGATAATTTACGGAGCAGGTCTTCGTTCGTGTTGTTAAATGTGAAAACAGGACATTTGTATATTTGGAATGGATGTAAATCTCCTCAACATACCCGTCAACAGGCTCGTCGTGCAGCTGATAAACTCAAAATACAGTAAGTAACAAATTGTTTCTTTCAGAGAATGAGGTCTCAGTTTTAATGATTGCACAGCGTTAATTTTGTGTAACAAGATGTTTTAGGTTCTCTTTCTAGCAATGAAATCGTTATGTTTGTACATGTATTATATTCCCTGGTTGCATGAAAATATCTATGTACACCCTGGTTCTCATAAATGGTGCAAAAATTATCTGACTTTCTGATCAAACAACTATTTTTATTATTTTTAGTTGTCCCTTAGAAGTTGGTCTGCATACAGACGCTAGTATAATGATATCAGAAATGGAAGAAGGGGAGGAGAAATCTCAGTTTTGGGGAGCTGTAGAAAGTCGAGACAGAACTCGTTATATGTCTTTACTAGACAGTAAGTTTTATTGGTCTAGTACTTCAGTGATTTATTTAGATTCCTATATTGTTATTGATATACTATAGTTTCAGAATAGTTTCTTAAGTTTGATTCTAAAACAGCCCCGTGGCTAATATTGAGTTTTATAATCTGGTGAAACAAAGATATTATCTTTTGCAGGTATTGCCTCTCTCGTGGCAAAATTACTCCCATGACAATTTGCATAGTGTTGTTTATCTTCATTAGATCATCATTGCTTGATAAAGACGAAAGTATCATCGTCGAAACATCACAAGTTATTTATTAAAATAATTGTTATCCATATAATTGTGTCTAGTTATAGACAAGTAAGACGTAAAACTCCAATCATTTCATGTCATTAAAGTTGCAGAGTGTTAGATTTAAATTCTTTGTGAATATTTCAGGTGGGCGAAGTCTAGAACATTCAGTACGTCTGTTCTATATGACCAGTGTGTCTGGTATTTTCGAGGTAGCAGAAAGATTAAATCCATGTCGTACTGACGAATTCTATACTCCATTTCCATTTTTACAGTCTGATCTATATAAAGTTTCTCAACCAGGTGAGTGTAATGTTGTACCAATGAGGACTTGTAATTGAGAACGAGTTGACTCACAATGAGGACAAATTGACTCACAATGAGGACGAATTGAATCACAATGAGGACAATTTGACTCACAATGAGGACAATTTGACTCACAATGAGGACAAATTGGCTCACAATGAGGACAAATTGGCTCACAATGAGGACAAATTGACCTACAATGAGGACAAATTGACCTACAATGAGGATTATAGTTATTTCAGTTATAATGAGGACAAATGACTCGAAATAAGGACAGATGACTCATATTGAAGACAGTGACTCATATAGAAGGCAGATGACTTGAAATGAAGACAGATGACTTGAAATGAAGACAGATGACTTGAAATGAAGACAGTGACTCATATAGAAAGCAGATGACTTGAATTGAGGACAGATGACTTGAAATGAAGACAGATGACTTGAAATGAAGACAGATGACTTGAAATGAAGACAGATGACTTAAAATGAAGACAGATGACTTATATAGAAGACAGATGACTTGAAATGAGGACAGATGACTCTAAATGAAGACAGATGATTTAAAATGAAGACAGATGACTCATATAGAGGACAGATGACTCTAAATAAAGACAGATGACTCTTATAGAGGACAGATGACTTGAAATGTGGACAGGTGACTTGAAATGAGGACAGATGACAGGTAAAAATATTGTTTTCATGTAGATAACTATTATGATATATCTTTTATTCTTGTTGATAAATTAAGAGTAAAATCAAATGTCCAATCGTATTTTGTGTCTATTTCAGCTCTGTTCCTAGTTGATAATCATTATGAAGTATATCTGTGGCAGGGTTGGTGGCCAGAAGGTAATGAAGAGGAAGGTAATGTCCATACAGGATCAGCTCATTCCAGGTTTAATATTGATAGAAAATGTGCTCTACAAACCACCATTAATTATTGTAAAGGTTTGTTTATTATCTTCATTTTTTATTGTCATCTCAACTTTTATACATATTATTACATATTATTACATATTATTACATATTTTTACTTAATAATCGACCACAATATCATACATAAATTATACTACTTCAGAGTTTTATTTTACACAATGTTTCAACAAGTTACATTGGTTCATATAATATACTATACTACTAATACTATAATTTACATTGTCATCATCAGTTTATATGGTATATACTACTCCTGAGTTTTATTGTACAAAACGTTTCAAAAATTTACATTGTCATTATTAGTTTATATAGTATACTACTTCAGAGTTTTATTTTACACAATGTTTCAACAATTTACATTGGTTCATATAATATACTATACTATACTACTATAATTTACATTGTCATCATCAGTTTATATGGTATACTACTCCTGAGTTTTATTATATACAACGTTTCAACAATTTACATTGGTTCATATAATATACTATACTACTATAATTTACATTGTCATCATCAGTTTATATGGTATACTACTCCTGAGTTTTATTATATACAACGTTTCAACAATTTACATTGGTTCATATAATATACTATACTACTATAATTTACATTGTCATCATCAGTTTATATGGTATATACTACTCCTGAGTTTTATTATATACAACGTTTCAACAATTTACATTGGTTCATATAATATACTATACTACTAGTACTATAATTTACATTGTCATCATCAGTTTATATGGTATACTACTCCTGAGTTTTATTGTACACAACGTTTCTACAATTTACATTATCATCATCAGTTTATATGGTATACTACTCCTGAGTTTTATTACACACAATGTTTCTACAATTTACATTGTCATCATCAGTTTATATGGTATACTACTCCTGAGTTTTATTGTACACAATGTTTCAACAATTTACATTATCATCAGTATATAAAGTATACTACTCCTGAGTTTTATTGTACACAATGTTTCAACAATTTACATTTTGAAGTATAATAAATAAAGAATAGCAACAATCAATTAATGATAGGGGACTATTTCTCTGAATCTGTATGATAGCGAGACACAACACTATTTTGATGATTTTTTGTTTTGAATTTGAATGATTTTGATTGATTTTATTGTATTTGTAGCCAGTAGAAGTCGAATGCCCAATATGTACATAGTATGTGCAGGGGTTGAACCCCAACAATTCACCAATATATTCCCATATTGGGAGGTGGATGAAACAGCCAAAGAACTCAATATGAGGGTGAGTTACTGAAATATTTTTAGAAAATAATAATGTATATATATATATAATAAAAATAAAAGTACTTATAATCTGAAACTGCAAAATAAAACCAGAAATTCAAAACAACACATAAATGATGTGTCATTAAATGTTTTGGGTTACTCAGTTAGACACTTTCAGGTTAGCTCCAAGGTCGAAGGTTCAGACCTGGTTTGGGTCCAGGTAAAATCATCATTTGTATAATGCTTGTCAACGTTGGTTCAATTCTATAATTATTCCGTAAAATAAAACTCTACATTTTATCCTGGTATTCAGGTTATTCATACAACTCAATGTTACCAATAGTTGAGGGGAAGGTACAAGAACAATGCTGACAATTTTTGTAGGGTTGAAGTTTGAAAATATTACACTTGATATTACTTACTCACTTATAATTGATATACTTCCGCATATGAATAGTTCATTAGCTGCTACCAATATTTTAGCAATATGTTGTTTGTTTTTCGGTTTTTCTTTCGGATCGTTAGTACTTGGTTTATTTATATAATTTATTTTCATATCTTCAGGATGGTAAACATGAAGGTTATTTGGAATCGGCTGAAGAAATGTTGAGTAAATTATCCAGAACGCAATATTCTCTGGAAGAATTGCAGGAACGACCTTTACCTGAAGGTGTTGACGCCTCCAAGCTAGAGTCATATCTAGATGATGAAACTTTTGAGGTATTCATTCTTTCAATCTCTGATACATTCATTGATTTATTTATTTTTATTGATGCATTCATTTAATTGTTTATTCATTCATTCCTTCATACCCAAAATATTTTGAGGTAGTCATTCATTATTCAGATTGATTAATTGAATTGTTTATTTATTCATTCATTCGTTTATTAAATCGTTTATTTATTCATTCATTTATTAAATCGTTTATTTATTCATTCATTCGTTTATTAAATTGTTTATTTATTCATTCTTTCCTTCTCACCCCAAACATTCATTCCTAAATAAAATAAACACAGCATAATAACAGAAACAGGCTATGTAGGATGATAAATTTTAGTGAAATATTATTTTGAACACTAATTTAATTTGTTTTCAGAGGGTAACTTCAAATTCAAATTTACAGCTAAATATATTTGTACTTTCAGAATATTCTACACATGTCAAAAGAGGACTTCTACAAACTACCCTCGTGGAAACAAAGACAGTTAAAACAACCCACTGGTTTATTCTAAAATCACCATGGAAACACTAAATAGTTTATTCTAGAATCACCATGGAAACACCAAATAGTTTATTCTAGAAACAATAATTAGTTTATTCTCGAATCACCATGGAAACAATAATTAGTTTATTCTAGATTCACCATGGAAACACTAATTAGTTTATTCTGAATCACCATGGAAACATTAAATAGTTTATTCTAGAATCACCATGGAAACAATCAGTTAAAACAACCCACCGGACTATTATAGAATAACCATGGAAACACCATTGAATTGTTCTAGAATCACCATGGAAACAACCAACTAGACTTTTTTTAGAATCACCATGGAAACAACCGACTAGACTATTCTAGAATCACACTATAGAAACAATAACTAGACTATTTTAGAATCACCAGGGAAACAATAACTAGAATCACCATAGACACACTACCTAAACTCTTCTAGAATCACCACGGAAACACTAACAAGTTTATTCTAGTATCAATGAGTGTAGGTAGTGGATTATTAATGTAGAAATATTTTAGTATATTATTCACAAATCATGTATCAATTTATGGATATGAGATATCATCTGCTAGTTTGTATTCAGGATGCTATCTTGTATTTAAGATGCTATCTTGTATTCAGGATGCTATCTTGTATTTAAGATGCTATCTTGTATTCAGGATGCTAGTGTGTATTCAGGATGCTAGCTTGTATTCAGGATGCTATCTTGTATTTAAGATGCTAGCTTGTATTCAGGATGCTATCTTGTATTTAAGATGCTATCTTGTATTCAGGATGCTAGTGTGTATTAAGGATGCTAGCTTGTATTTAAGATGCTAGCTTGTATTAAGGATGCTAGCTTGTATTTAAGATGCTAGCTTGTATTAAGGATGCTAGCTTGTAATCAGGATGCTAGCTTATATTTAAGATGCTAGCTTGTATTCAGGATGCTAGCTTCTATTCAGGATGCTAACTTGTACTAAGGATGCTAGCTTGTATTCGGGATGCTAGCTTGTATTCAGGATGCTAGCTTGTATTCAGGATGCTAGCATATATACAGGATGCTAGCATATATTCGGGATGCTAGCTTGTATTCAGGATGCTAGCTTGTATTCAGGATGCTAGCATATATTCAGGATGCTAGCATATATTCGGGATGCTATCTTATTTATTAAGGTGCCTTTAAAATGAGTTGAATATCTTAAAGTGTCCATGATAGAATTATTCTGATAAGGAGTCAATGATGCTTAGAGTGGATTTTATAAAAGATGTAATCATCAATGGATCAGTCGATGGATCTCATTAATATTCATGAGATAGAACATGAATATGCAAATTCACCAGGGTTATTGATTGGTCTGTATTTCAGAAGGTTTTGACTTCAACCCCTCCTATCACTCGTACCTGTGATTAATTTTCTGTGATTTTCTCATGTTTTGTAAATGTATAAATTATGGTGCTATATCTCTTTGACAGCAATTTTTATAATCATAGTCGAGATACAATATTAATTTACATACCTTATTTTTATCTGGCTTTTATTTCAGTCACCTTCCTGTTATTTCAGTCACCTTCCTGTTATTTCAGTCACCTTTCTGTTATTTCAGTCACCTTTCTGTTATTTCAGTCACCTTTCTGTTATTTCAGTCACCTTTCTGTTATTTTAGTAACCTTCCCGTTATTTTGTGTCACCTTTCTGTTATTGTCTATCACCTTTCTGTTATTGTCTGTCACCTTTCTGTTATTTTCTGTGCTGTGTACTGTGCTTTGTAAATTTATATTTTAACAAGAGGAATAGAATAAAAGTTTAAATTAAAACAGAGCTGAGAACATGCCCCGCCCCCCCTTCCTAGTGTGACTATTCCTATATAATACTATAATTATATTAATGTGTATATTTTTATCATTATTTGTGTGATTCTTGTTTGTAAATGATCCTTTTTATATTTTGATTGTAAATATCCATTATCTTCAACATCCAATTTCATTAATACCAAATAAAATCATTTTCAATACAACCTTTGTTTACAGTCAATATTTTACCTCGAGATAAACCAGTGGTGTCCCTAAATAATTCCCTTTTCAACCCTTCTCTAGAGTAGACTAGCATTGATATCAGAACAAATTGAAAAAGACGGATGAAGTCGTCAAACATTGACATATAATTTCAACTAAAGTTATTGAGTACAGGTCTTACTTTTCTGTTTGGAAATTTTAACAACAATGTTATTTTTCTGTAGTAGAATTACAATAAATTGTAGTTTTCCAAAAGATTTTACGCCACACTACCAAACCCCCCCCCCCCCCCCTCCAAAAAAAAATTCAAGATAATCCCCATCGTATCACGAATCAAAATGAAATGAATGGAGTTTTACGTCCTACATTTCTACACTATGTGGGCTAATGAAGACGGGAAACGCCTTGCAGAGTGCAATGAGGGAAATTTTGACAGGACAGCGGCATCGGTCTGCGCTTTTCTGTCTTTCCATCTGTCATTGATCTTTTACGTGCACATGGGGCCTCGGTCTATGATTCAAAGTAATACATAGTTGTTATTTACATACATCATTGATCTGGACTATATTTCCTGAAAGCTTTGATACAATCAAAATATTCAAAAAATAAAATTGAGATTTCGAAAAAACAATAATTTGATTGGTTAATAAAAACTCAATTTAAAATCAGTTTTAGTGATTGACCAATCAGATGACTAGATCATAAAATCACCTTCAATTTAAGTTTTTAGTGAACTTGCCCCTTGTACATCTGACAAATCAGATAAAAAAAATTCCATCTTGACTTTCACCAGGATTGATTGTAAATATGGCAGTGATAAATAATACGAGAAATGAAATGAAATGAAATATAGGCTACAGGTCAGCTTCTTGGACGGTGTCATAGTCAAGACCATACTATATTTAAACTTTGCAACCCTTGTATTTACAGTGGAAAGGGAAGGATGATCATAATCTAAAATGGAGACCATGTCAGTATGTGGTTATTCCTTTTAGTTGTAGGTAATTGATGACTATCATTTAGATAGTTTTGTCTATTTCCATAGAAATAGCTGTATTGTATTCTTTTTACAACTGTAGTCTATGCATTAATATTAATTCAGGTGAAATATTATACCTTATTTTATTAGCCTCTATTATATACATTTAGGTCAGTCAAACAATAGCAGTGAATATCAAGTTTAGATGTAATATTAATATAACTGATATGTCACAGTGACCTCAATATAATATATACTATTAATATTACATTATAAACTTCTCTTTTTTGATTATATTACCTAACTTTGGGTTGTACTATTGTCTGTTTATAGAAACACCAGACATCACCTAACTCTGGTTTATATTCTAGAGAGTGGTGCCCACTGTTGTACTATTGTCTGTTTATAGAAACACCAGACATCACCTAACTCTGGGTTATATTCTAGAGAGTGGTGTCCACTGTTGTACTATTGTCTATTTATAGAAACACCAGACATCACCTAACTCTGGGTTATATTCTAGAGAGTGGTGTCCACTGTTGTACTATTGTCTGTTTATAGAAACACCAGACATCACCTAACTCTGGGTTATATTCTAGAGAGTGGTCCACTGTTGTACTATTGTCTGCTTATAGAAACACCAGACATCACCTAACTCTAGGTTATATTCTAGAGGGTGGTCCACTGTGTATTATTGTCTGTTTATAGAAACACCAGCCATCACCTAACTCTAGGTTATATTCTAGAGAGTGGTCCACTGTTGTACTATTGTCTGTTTATAGAAACACCAGACATCACCTAATTCTGGGTTATATTCTAGAGAGTGGTCCACTGTTGTACTATTGTCTGTTTATAGAAACACCAGACATCACCTAACTCTAGGTTATATTCTAGAGAGTGGTCTACTGTTGTACTATTGTCTGTTTATAGAAACACCAGACATCACCTAATTCTGGGTTATATTCTAGAGAGTAGTTTACTGTTGTACTATTGTTTGTTTATAGAAACATCAGGCATCATCAAACTCTGGTTTATAATCTAGAGAAATACCAGAGATCAACTAACTCTAGGTTATATTCTAGAGGGTAGTCCACTGTTGCACTATTGTCTGTTTATCAAACACCAGACATCACCCAACTCTCTGGCAACAAGGTAAATTCAGATTCACGAAGTCTGTTCTCTAAGGCAGTGGGCTTTGGGGCCTGCATAAAATATTGGTTATTTGTTTTGAACAGATAATTTGACACAAATCTTTCTATTCAACATGATTGTTCCAATTTAACACTCCCATGTGGTCGAAGGGAATGAATAGGCTGAAACATGTTCTCCTTTGTATTTATGTAGCAAAACCGACTGACATGAACATTAGAAAAACCTTACGGCCTAACTCAAAAGGTGTAGTAAAATGACCATTAACTAACTGATTGGAAGCTACAGAATTTTCAAAGCCGTGTTTGGAATGGGGGATGTTGCCTGGTTATGGGAGCTGATTGAACCAGACTGGAAATTCTGATATTATTAAGAAACAATATTTCTCTCAAAACCACGGGCATGGTGAGCTATTTTATCACTGACCACAAATAAATAATTATTCTAATTTAACAATAAGATAGCTTGCAAGGCAAGGTAACATACGCCCACTGGCAGCTGTCAGCTGTCAGAAATGATAAAACAGTCTTTAGTGACTAAAGTACGAATTTTCTCATATTAGTTTGAAATCAATTACATATATATATATGCCAGTTATTTATGCTGAGTAATTCCACAATTTGTTTTAAAATCAATATCAATAACCCTGTTGTGTTTTTGATAGTCCCCTTCTGATTAACTTACAAGGACGAGAAGATGACAAGGTTTTAAGGTTGATTTAATAAAGTAACATGAACTAAATACAGTGGCAATATCTCATTATTGCTTATCAGTACTATAATGTACAAAACAATGTAAACAATATATTACGGATTTATAACAGATTTAAAACAGTCTCTACAACACCTCCCTACTGAAAATAGATGCTAAACTTTAGCATCACAAACAGAGTCTCTCAATAGGTTTTCGCGGTCTCTTTGATCTTC